TTTTGCTGCGTTCGACGAATCCCTGCAAGCGCCGCCCATCGTGAGCTTCCGCGCAGAGTGTCTTGCGAAGTGCTTCGCCAGCTGGCACGCAGAGACGCGATACGTGTTCCTTAGGCGACAATACGAACAGCAATCCATCCAGCTTGAGCACCGTGCCAGTATTGGGAACGACCTGCCGCGCTGTAGCCGACGACTTGGTGATGTTCTTATAGAGAGGGCCGCGACGATAACTTCTAAGAAACGTTCGCTTGGTAGTCTCGGTGAACTTTACTGTAATCATTGTTAGTTGCGACGTCCTTAGCGCGGTAACAGCTTGTGGAACGCCAACCCTGCGTGCAGCAGCTACTCCTCCCCTCAAATAATCTGCTGTCCCGCAAAGTAGACCCAGGTCACGTGATAGGTTCCCCAGTGCCATAACCGACATCGTGTGAGGTACGCTACGGCTGCACGAGGTTGTGCACGTGTGCACCACCAGGCGAGGAGCTGGGCCGCTCGGCGTGACGGACCCAGAGTGATCGGGCTCGGTATCCACGCGTGATAGTGCTTCCGCTACCGCATTACTTGATCCTTTCGCATGATGAGCACGAACGAAAATTGACCGAAGAAGTCCAATCAACGCGCCAACTTACCCGAGACGTTGGGATGGATAAGAAGTCATTGGCATGCTGAATTGTCCGTAAACACATCGAATTCCGTCCCGTAGAGGTAGTGAAGCTATTTTCGAAGTGATAAATTGATTGCAAGCAGCTCTTTCTCATGTGCAGGCCAGTTCACTTTATGCCTCAATAGTTATTTCGACAGAAAAGCAACTGGGTGGTCACTGCCATCATGAACTTGTGACAGTACCGCACCACAGCAATATCCGGATGTATCCGTGGTAACCACAAACCGTAGCGAGTAATTGAGAAGGACAAGCACTGGTGCCTGCTGTAGGTCTGCCTTCAGGTGCAGGAACGTGTGTTCGTGAGAGTCCGTCCAGGTCCACGCCACATCGCTCTCCAGTAAATTGCTTTGGGGAAGAACAATAGTCGCAAATCGACCAATGAAGGGTCGGTAATAGCCACATAAGCCCAGAAAACTTTGCAGCTCCTTCGCCGACGTAGGAACCGGCCACTGCTCGATAACGCGCGTCTTGCGTTCATCGCCGTGCAGCCCTCCCACAGACAAAGTGTGTCCTACGAAATTCACCGAAGTACACCCGAACTGGCACTTGGAAAGACGAGCATACAACTTCTGCGAGCACAATACCTCGGACACGTTCAATGAGCGATATGTTCCGGCTCCACCCCTCGAGAATATACACAGGTCGTTCAGGTAAACTGTCGCAAAATCGAAATTTCCAAACAGCAATCGCATCAGTCTTGACCAAACGCCAGGCATTCCGCTCAATCCCTTGGGCGCGACGTACCATTGATACGCCTGCGGCTCAGTCCTAAACGCCGCATACTTGCGATTCTATGGCTCCACCCTTATTTGATGATAGCCTGGTGCGAGGCCTAGCGTAGAGAAAAAAACGACAGCTCTCCATGCGATCAAACTATATTTCGACTTTGGCAACCGGATTTTGGGGATTTCGGTCTCGGAATTCACATACCGCTAATCCACGGCCCAACGAACCGGTAACGAAGTATTTCCCGTACAATGTCGTCCCGCGCGCGTAGGGGCTTTGCCTGTCGCCAGGTCTTTTTTCTTGCCGATCCAGGCCCGGGCGCGATCCTCGTCGTCATCCTTCCCCGAGAACCCCTTGAGTTCCGGTATAGCAGACACACGAATGCGAGGGGTGATCGCTGGTAATCCAGTTGTTGTAGCAGCAGTGGCTACCGTCGCTTGACGGGAGACGGGGAGATCCAGATCGTCCGGGTCGTATCCTTCGTGGTCAGACTCTACCGACTCCATGTCGACGTCCTGCAGCTCCGTTCTTCTCACCCGGGGCATTGTTGGCGTCCCCTGTGCGGCGCACAGCTTCTTCAAGAGGCGTTCCATCGCCGAGTTGAAGAACGTCTGCAGTCTGTCTCGATTTTCGTTCGGTCTGCTGACTACCGCAGAGGCGCCCGCCCTGGGCCTCTCGTTCGATACCCGCTGCGATCTGGTTTGCAACATCGCGGCTCCTGAAGGGCCAAGCTGCATTCGCTCGACTCCTTCCGAGGTGTC